ATATATATATATATGTGTGTATATGTAGAGAGAGAGAGAGAGAGAGAGAGAGAGAGAGATGGATATTTAAATTTTATCAGAATACATGAAGAAATGACTGCATAGTTTTTAGTGACACACACACAGAAAACTTCTTTTGTTTGCGCATTGTTTGATGCATTTAAGAAAGGGACCATCATTTCATTGTCACTTCACTGGTGTAATTTGGCTCATCATGGCATTTGGTGATTAGTCCTTTGTGAACTTGATGAGACAGACACACATGCACTGAGCCCTGCATCCAGGGAACACAACCCACCATCCCCATCCCTTCAACTTGCCCCGTCAGAGGAAGCCCACATCTCCAACCCCTTCCACCCCTCGCCACCCTCTTTCTGCTTAGGCATGGCCAAGAGAGTGTTTAAAAAACACTGTGTAGAAGAAGAATTCAGTTATCCCTACATACCGCCTTGTGGGTTTGAAGATGTGTAATTTTCTCACAACAAGGATTCCCATGATAGCTCTCTGCTTTGAGTAGCTATTAATGCTCTTTCTTGCTCAGTGGTTTGTCAAATGCATTATTTTGCGGCTTGGCAACAAATAGAAAGAGGCAAACTAGAAAACAAGAGCAGATGAGACAAAAGCACAGAAAAAAATCAGACACACAAACTTTGAAGTATATATGTTATATCTCTCTTGTATTCTTTAATGTCTATGGACTAAGCATAAACTTGGCTAACTGGCCACTGTATTGTTTGGGTTTGTCTCTCAACAAGCTGACCTCAAACTTTAAAAGTTTAAATTAAAATTATGTTTTGACCTTAACTTGTTTCAGCTTGCTCTATGATCAATAACCCATGTAATATTTATTAAAGCTGCATAGATAATTCAGTGACACCTTTAAAGTGACCCTGCAGAATAGATGAAACATGCCCCTGGTTATCTTCCCAAAAATCGTCCGAAAATGCATGCTACACTGAATTTGCACAAAAAACAGTGATGTACAAAGTCCAAAGTGAAAACAAGCTGTGTCAATAGATAGAAAGCTAATAAACATATTGCATTCACATTACGTCTGTATGTTTTAGTCACACGTGTTGTTAAATGCATTGTGACTATGTGTAACCAGCTTTACAATGATCTAATTAGTACGTTTGGGAAACTTGCCTGAGATTAAAACTGTTTGCAGGATCAAAGAAAGTGCTCTACATTAGTAAGGATTCTAGAGTGAGAACAGGAAAACAGCTGCTCATGGGATGTGTGGAGCAAAGGAGATAAACATGCAACCCAAGAACTCAACATCTCTCTGGGTAATTACTAAGGACCTTGGGGCCTCTTTGTCTTTTGGTAATGAGTTGCGTGTCATGTACATACATAGTAAAACATTCACTGGATTCATTAGATCCCATATCTGAACAGAGAATAAATGAAGCAATATTTATACATGTAGCTGTGCCATGGCTTTACTTTGTACTTTCTACAATTACTCACAGAAGCCAGACACACACTAACAAGACAGTAATGACCTGCTACACCGGGATAAAAGCCATCAAGGGGAAATGTATCCTAAAAAAGTATCTGCAGGTAAGGATTATTTGTAACCTAGTAATTTTGAGAATAGGGAATTCTATTTTTTTTAAAGAACAAAGCATCTCCTATGGTTTACTTTGCTTGTTTCATCATATCTGTGAGCCTTTTTACAAACGTTAAAATGGTGCATGATTGTTTCCCTTCATGCAAAACAGTGTTTAATGAAATGTATGTTCAACAAATTATTATTTGAACAATTTCTGGTACCTTAGGTGAAGTTTCTGAAAGAGTTCCTGTGACTTTTTAACTTCCTTTAATGCTGTTGTTGGCAAGGTTACCAGTTTCTTGTTCAATCGTTAGTGCTTTGCTCCAGTTTAATTTCACCTTCTGGCATATGGGCTCAATGGAGTCGTGCCACAAACATTTCTGCATAGCAATGCAAGAGACAACACATGCATTCTTGCTGGTTTTCATATTTTACAATCCACTGTAAAAGTTTTTAGTGTAACGTGTGTATGTATTATCATCATTGTATGTTCCCATACAATGGCAAAATTGGCTCGCTGCATTTAACCCATCCAGCACCAGGTGGCGCATTGGGCAGCTTTTGGAGGCGCTCAGGGAGCAACTGGGGATGGGGTGTCCTGCTCAGAGACACCACGAGATGTGCAATGACCGGGGATTGAACCAGGGCCCGAGTTGGCTGCCATGCCCCTACGCCATCTCAGCTCCCTGAATGTTTTAGTCTAAGCTTTTCACAAGTATTCCTTAATTTACTAGCAGACATTTCAGCTTGTTGACATTTATATCCCTTCTCAGTGTTTTGGCACAAAATTACAGCAGCATTTTTAGGCAGGAATTATTAATTTGCTGATTTGAGACATTTAATGAATATGACAGATTATGGGAGAGTGGTGGCGCAGAGGTTAAAGAAGGTGGGCCTATGATCGGAAGGTCACCGGTTCAACTCCTGGTACTGACAACATCAAAACAAATGTGAGTGGAGAAAGGTGAAACACCCACATCTGCTTCCACCCTCATTTGCTTCAATCTGGGCCCTCAACCCCCACCATCTGCCCCCCCCCCCCCCAGGTGCCCTGGATGGCAGCTCTCTGCTCCACACAGAGGGCTGTGGTAGCTCAGTGGTCTGTGGTTGTGTCAGGAAGGGCATTCGGTGTAAAAGCCATTGCTAGGTCTTCGTGCGAGATAGTTTGCTGTGGCAACCCCTGAAAAAGGGAGCAGCTGAAATAAACAAAATTAAAAAATTTAATTTAAAAAATGATTATGACAGATTATGACTGATATCAACACTTGGCAATATTATATTGCAGGTTATTCACACACACACTCACAAAAAAAAAAATAATCAAAGAAATAACAGGGAAAATGTTTGAAATAGATAGGACAGCCACTGCCAATAGAGCCAACAACAACAGGGGGCACCCTAAACCCTCATATCTGACCATCACCTCTGCTCTCTGCCAACACCCAACCCAGTCACCCCCACCTTCACCTAAGCCTGACATTTCCCAGGGGGCATTCAACTCACTGGCCCTGTTTGATTTAGGCAGGTCGGGTGTCAGTGTTCACTACAAGCTCATGGTGAACCATGAATAATAGATCTACCACGGGTCTGGGTCTCCCTGGGACTCCCAGCTGCCCCCTTCCCCCCACTGCTGGTGTGACTGGAATATTGAATGTCCTATTAACAACCAATGATTCATAAAGGTTTTCCATGCCAGGGCACGAGAAACAGGAAATGTGCACAAAAGGTTGTTAGGGGAAAAGAAAGATAAAAAGCTTTCTTACAACACATTTTTCTGCACTACTAAAATTAGGTTCAAAT